CTACCTTGCTTTTCTTCTTTTTTTTTCGTTCTTTCTTTCTTTTTTCTCTTTAATTTCTTTCTTTTCGTCATTTTTTGTACCTTTATTTCTTTCTGTCTGCCTTTTTGTGTTTTATCTTCATTTTTTACTTCTTCGTTCAATTTGTTCATTTATTTTAGAAGGGGAAGGAAGGGGAAAAAGTTTATTCATCATCTTTCAAGCTTTCTTCTTCTTCTTTTTGATAATATTTTGCTTGGTATTCCGTGGAAACCAGTAGGAAAAAGGAAGAAAGAAGAAAAACAAAACCAATGTAAAATATAGTGATTTTTTTGAGTGAAAAATGCAATACATTTGTTGCTTTTTTTGGCCCATCTTTACTGTTTTGTTGCAGAAACAATGTCTCCATGTGTACCGCTATGGGTATGCATGTGTATTTGTGCGCGGAATTGATAAGGTTATGAGGGGAAGGACGAACAGACGGACGATTTGGTGAATGATGGTGATGGTTATTGTGCTGAGTGATACATAGGGGAAGGTCGATCGGGATCTGTTGAATAAATAAATAGATGGAAGTGTACGTGAATAAGTATATATAAATAAATTAATAAATAAATGAATAATAAATAAATAAATAAATAAATAAATGTATATATATATATAGGGAGGGAGGTGAAGGTATCTGAGAAGGAAAAAGGACAGGAGCGAGATTAAGAAGAAGAAGGCGAAAAAAATTTATTGGAATACGAATGAAAATTTTTTTGGAAACTGTATTCTGAAAGTTTCTTGCTCTGCTGATGTGGAAAGGTAATTTAAGTCAAGCGAAGGGAAAAGGCAGAGAATGAGAAAGAAAAATTATTTCTTTTCTTGTCATTTAATTTTGTTGACAAGTGTGGGCAACTGTGTTCTACGAGGAAGGGGATGGGAAGCGGGGATGGTAACGGAATGGGGAATGGGTGGAGAAATTTGAGATGAAACGAGAAACACGTGAGGATAACCTGAAAATTGTTAGAAAATGTTCCCAGTTTCACCTTACGACGACCTACACCGATTTGTAAACAAACTGCACGAAAAAAAAATGAAACGGCGGTATTTGTAGGTCTTGTTGAAAACATTTCGAACGACCGACAGTTAATCACGTATTCATCCATCTATAGTATACCCATTCAGACATCAACTCGTTTCCTTTTGCGTTACAAACTACTTATCTGTTATCAGTTTCTGAATTTTGCCGGCTGTGCAAAAATAAATTATTTTATGATAGGTCTAATACAAATTTTGAAAAAAAAAAAAACGTTGTTTGGATTTAAACGTCGAAGATCATTTGTTGGACAATCGCCGACGATTGCATAATTTTGGCATCTTCAGCATCTTAAAACCAACTTGAACATACATTGATATATTACATTCAGATAAATTCTTTTTTCTCTTCTTTCAAGAAAAAAAACAGATTATTATTCTTTTCCGAAGCTAATCTTCTTTTTCGGCTTTAGTTTTAGCTTTAATTTAGGTTTTGCTTTTTGTTTTTCTTTTCATTCATCGTTATATTTATTAGTTTACGTAGTATCCCTTAACAATGTGAGGAAGATGGGGTGAAGAGGTGGAAAAGATGGCAACTGAACCGATTGGGGCTAACCATAAAAAAAATAAACGTAGACACATAGCGTGAATATAGAAGAGACACACAGATACACAGAAATGTAGACAACACACACATACACACCCGTAACCGATGGTTGTTTTTGGGAAATATCCATTAGGATTTTAGGTTCTTTGTTTCAGCGCGCCTGAAGTCGTCAGTGTTGACGTCAACGAGAACTACAACTTCAAAAATGAAAAATGGCAAAAAAGATAATTGGGTGACAGGGAGAGAAGAGAGAAAATAAGGATCTGGTCTGTTCAACGTTTCAACCGTTCGTAATTCAATAAAAACCAGTCATTTCCAGCAACTAATGTCACTTCAGAAAAAATTATAGTTTTCCTCTTTTCATCTACCCTCCTTTCTCGACATTTAGTAGTCTGGTATACTCGGGTCTCTTTAATTCTCCACTCCCTCTCTTCTCCCGTATCTTTCTTTCTTCTTAGTCACCGGTCTTTTTTCATGATGCTCTATAGAATTTCATAGCGGAAATGCAAAATTTTTGCATAGTCCAGCAGTGTCTAAATAATTAAATAAATATACTGATGTTTGTTCTCTGCTGGCAGTAACAATTACAATAATAGTGAAAGCAGCGAAAGCAGCAGTTGCCGCACTGTTCTGTCACGCATTTCAAAGATACACAGACTACGATTGTGATGGTAATGATGATAATAGAGGCTGCAGCAATAGCACCTGAAACTTCCGTGAAATGTTAGCTTGACTAGTCTTGTTGGGCTGTCTCAAAGGTATGTTACGAGTAAAAACTATGTCTATCAGCACTGTTGATTACCTGAGTGTTCTGGTCCGTAATTGAGTGTGTATTTGTGCGTGAATGAGTGTTTCGCGTGTACACAATAATTTAGCTTAGTTCAGCCTATTTTCCCTTGAATTTTATTGATTCTAACAGTGCCTTAAAAATTATTTCCCGATCGTTTTCAGCTTTTCTATAGACCATGTATTTTATTCTTGTTTTACTGCTCATTATTACGTTCTAAAAACATACTTTATTTCTCTTTAAAAAACCGAATTTTTCTTTATGTTTCTACAGAATTTTTAACTAAATATTTTATTGTTTTTTTCTAATTTTACTCTAAACATCACAAAAAATGAATTTTTTTTTGAGGGGTTAGGAAACCGAGACAATGGTTTCACAATGGATTTTGAGGAGTTCCCGAAATTATCCTGATCGTCATTATTATCACCACTATAACCATCGTCGTCACCGTCATCTGTGCTGCATTGACCATCAAAAATTGACTAACTGGTAGTTTTTTGTTAAAATGATTGAACGCGGGAGAAAACCGGTGAATTCCAAAAACAAGGCAAGAATTTTGAGGAAGAAGAAAAAGCAGGAGGAGGAGGATGACGAGAATGCAAAAAGGGAACTGAGGAAGAAAAATACGAAAAAAAGAAAGAAAATGTAAAGTAACTAAAAATATCGCTTACGTAATGAGGGTTTTATTAAAATTTTTTGTTGCTTAGAGCTCCTTTTGTCTCCGCTTATCTCCTTCTTATATTATAATACGCTATTTATACATTTTACAAGCCTTATTTTTAGTCTCAAAGATTATTTTTATGTTTGTTTTCAATCTTCCTTTTTTTTTTTTGTTTCAGTTTTTTGGCTGTTATTCATTTATCATTATCGTTGCACCCATTTATGGTTCAATATTTCATTCAAAATTCTTCTTTCCTTCAGGTTTTGTGCAGTATTCTTTTGCAAATTTTAATTTTTTTTTTTTTGTGCTGTTTTATTAATAACATTTTGATGGCAAAAATTATCAAAAAAAAAAAAATTATTCTATTTTTTTCGACCTCT